GACCGGGCTGGTTCTGGGGGGGGGGCACCAGGGGGGGTGATATTTTTATTTGTCTCCCAGCCACCTGTGGCAATGAGATTCATATTTGTCTCCCCCAGGAGACAATTTCCCATCTCTAGTTGAAATCCAGTAGTAAGTCACAACTAGAGTAGGCCAATTGAAAAGTGGTACTTATGGAGGAATTAACTGACCTAATACAGTGGTACCTTGACTTGAGAACATAAGAACGAGCCAAGTTAAGAATGGCTCCGTTTGCAAAAAAATGTTTCGACTTGAGAACGGCGCCTTGACTTAAGAACCAAAAAAAAAAGAAAAAAGGAAAAAAAACCCTTTCCTGCCCTTTTTTTGACCTAAGTTCACCTAAGTTCACCTTTGGTCAAAATAAGAATTTTTTTAAAAAAATCACCCCCTAGTGATAGATACGGATTATAACCGGCTTTGCATTAGTTCCTGTGGGAACTAATGCTTCGACTTAAGAACAGTGCCTCGACTTAAGAACGAAAAACAGCAGATACGGATTAAATGGTTTTCAATGCATTCCTATGGGAAATGGTGTTTCGACTTAACATTTCAACTTAAGAACGCAGTCCCAATACAGATTAATTTCTTAAGTCGAGGTACCACTGTAGTTAGGAGGTATGCATACGCTGGTAGTTCTGTTTTCCTATCTGTTTTCCTATTCATGAGATAGGGAACTTATCTGTGCACAGAGCTTGTTGATTTGTCTGGAGTATGGCATCTTGTTAAGTCACACAAAACCGCTACAGAGGCTAGGACAGCTGGTGCAATTCCTACAGCCCCATTTCAGTGATGATCTATGGCTGCTTCCACCCATCTTCCATCCACCTCTGCCCTAGATGCATGTCCGTGTGTGGATGTGTTCTCACTTCTATGCTACAAAGTCAAAATGGCGACTGCAGGTACTGTTGTGTGAATATGCCCAACCCGTTGGTTTTGAACCAGTTACTCACACTAGGACAAAAAAGTGATAATCGAAAAGTGAAAGAAAATCAACAGTTGGGTCATCACTTCAAAAGAATACATTTATTGGGTTTGTACAGTCATTTGCAGGGGTTTATTTCAAAATGAAGGAACAGAGAGGAAGAGTCATTGCTTAAATCGGGTCCAGAAGTTAGCTTATTAGATTGGCCTAAATCCATGTACTTTTCATTGATTCTAGATGTTTAGGAGCGTTTTGTTGCAAATGAGAGCAGTGCTGTGGAAAGCAAGAGGAATGAGTCATCCCAGCAACTGCTGTTTAGAATTCTTGGACTGGAAAATCCGTTAACGTTCCCTTCACTGGGTAGCCTGTTGAAAGCACTTTATTTTGTCAATTCAATCTGCAGCAGATAATCAGACAAAACACTTTTCAAGCGCTGCATCTTTAATTTGGCCAAGTCAGACTCAGCCACTTGGCTGAATCTCATGGAACTTTCATCATTTTGGAAACTGCCCTCTTTCCCACTGAGGGTTGCATAATGGGTTTTTAAGGCAAGGTTTTCCTTGTTGTCAAAATAGTGTTTAGTAAGTAATCAGGAGTCAGGCCAAGAAAAAAAGGATTTGGGGTTCATCAGGCGGCGCAACTCCCTGATGGCATTGGGTGAGAGATCTTCCTTCCTTCCTTGTTTTCCCCACATCGTGGTCTGAGATGAACCTATGGTTAGATAAATGTGAAGTTTCACTTTTCAGCTGGTTCTTCCCCCATTGATGGATGAAGTGAGTGTGGCAAGATCTGAGTCCAAATCTTGCTCCTAACCTCTCCCCAGCGACTACCTGCCGTGTCTGAATTCTGTTTTGGTAGACATTAATTGCGTTGGAAACGTGTGGCTAAATGAGCAGCCAAAGATGAATTGAAGTACCATTTCTGCTAGGATAAGATAGCCTGAATGTGATTTTGTCCAGCAGCTGCTAGCCATTTGTAACACATTAGCTGCCTCCTATTGTTGGGACGTGGTGGCGCTGTGGGTTAAACCGCAGAAGCCTCTGTGCTGCAAGGTCAGAAGACCTGCAGTCGTAAGATCGAATCCACGCAACGGAGTGATCCCCCATCGCTTGTCTCATCTCCCGCCAACTTAGCGGTTCGAAAGCATGCAAAAATGTGAGTAGATAAATAGTACCCCCTCAGTGGGAAGGTAAATGCCGTTCTGTGTCTAGTCACGCTGGCCACGTGATCACAGAAGATTGTCTGCGGACAAACGCTGGCTCTATGGGTTGGAAACGGAGATAAGCACCACCGCCTAGAGTCAGACACGACTGGACAATATTAACATGCCTGATTCTCTCTCTGTCTCTCTCTCTCCCTCTCTGTGTGTGTTTGTGTGTGTGTGTGAAGTGAGGAAGAACATGATTCGCCTGTGTTGCCATTGTGCCTCGAGCCATATGCAGTTTCAGTTCTAATGCATGTAGAGGACTAATTTCTTGCATGTCAGGTTGATAACATAAAAGCAAAGAGCGCACATAAGCTCAGAGCTGATAAATAGTAGCTTTTTAATGGGAATATTCTTCCAATTTGGAAAATCTGCATGTCTGCTATCATGCTTGTTCTGCAGGAAAAGCTGACAGTTCGCAGAATAAGCCATTTTTATCTAAATAACCCTGATAGAGAGGCTGATTCATGAAGTACACTGGTTTTAATAAGAGGCTTAAGTAGTCTATCAGTAGTTGATCTGCTAAAAGCTTAGTTCCAAGACAGCACCTCTTCTCCTCCTCCTTCCTCTTCCTCTTCCTCCTCTTCCTCCTCCTCCTCCTCCTCTTCTTCTTCACAGTGCTAGAAAGAATTAGGAGAAAGGCTTAAAATTTGGAGAATGCTAAACTGAATTGAAAATAACCTGAGGAAATACATGGAACGTTACTTTTGTTTCAGGTTTTAAAAGTCCATTGTCTAGTTTTACTGGTACTCTGTATATATTAACAATCTGGGACTGCCTTCTCTCCAGCTGTTATTCTGTATCTTCTAACGATTGTATGTCAGTGGGAGATTCTGATGCTTGTTTAATATTGTTGTTCTGGGGGATACAGTGCAGCATACGTATATATTAGCCAGAAATATGTACACCCCATAAGAATCAATCTGTGTGGCCTTGGGCAAGCTGCACAGCCCCAAGGTGTCACCAGAAGAAGGGAACTACTTCTGAGTCCTTTTTATCTAGAAAACCTTGAAAAGGTTCATAAGTCAGAATTGAAGACACACATATCCAAAAGGCCCATGAGCCATTCTGTCATTGCATCTTTTCGGTGACCTTGAGTGAAGCTGTTTGCTACTTTGAAACTGAGTCATGCCATTAGGAAAATAAAAATTATTTGCACGGATGGATTCCAGATAATTTCAGTAGAGACGTGTTATACTATATTAAAGACTGACACTTTTTATTTGGCATAAGTTTTCATGGACCGCAGCCCACTTCGTCAGTTGAGTCTGATGAAATGGGCTGGTGGCCACAGAAGCTTATATTAAATTAAATAAGTTAGCCTTTAAGGTGTCTCAAGAATCTTCATTGCTTTTGTGCAGGACACTCACATATTCCCCTCCTATAAGTTTAGGATTCTGAGATAAAAGGTGCCATTAAATCACTAAGGGACTTGCTTAGTAAGCAGTCTTGTGATGGAAATAGGCAAACCTCTCACTAATTTATATTGGTTGGCAAGTTAGAAATCATCTACAAATAGCTGCAGTTGATTTCCTTAACACTTTTTATTGGTTAGTAATTAAATGTTCCGCCAATTAATGTTAGCTGAGCTAAAATATTCATGCATGCTACAGATTTAATCTGTAGCATGCAGCAATATACGTATGTAGCAGCAGATTTAATTATGTTTTAATCAACCTGTGCATTGAATTGTGTCCTTTTAGCAAAAGAAATGTAGTTTACAAATAAAAATAATAAAAATTAATTTAAATTAGCTTATTGTATTCAGTTTTATCACCAGGGATGTGGTGGCGCTGTGGGCTAAACCGCAGAAGCCTGTGCTACAGGGTCAGAAGACCAAGCAGTCGTAAGATCGAATCCACGCGACGGAGGGAGCGCCCGTCGCTTGTCCCAGCTCCCGCCAACCTAGCGGTTCGAAAGCAAGCTAATGCAAGTAGATAAATAGGGACCACCTCGGTGGGAAGGTAACAGCATTCTGTGTCTAAGTCGCATTGGCCATGTGACCACGGAAGATTGTCTTCAGACAAAACGCTGGCTCTATGGCTTGGAAACGGGGATGAGCACCACCCCCTAGAGTCGAACACGACTGGACAAAAATTGTCAAGGGGAACCTTCACCTTCACATTCAGTTTTATCGTATTCGGAATTCACCACCATTAGCCCATGTCTCCTCTTTTCTCTCTTTTCTTTCTAATCTGTTGTTCTTATCTGATATTTTTAGTGGGATGTGACTGGAAGTGAATTGTTTAAATTACAGGCTGTAAAGGGAGCTGGGAATCTAATGAAGTGTTGAGAGAAGCAAATCTCTTTTTGAATCGCCAGAGATTTAGGCTGTATGTTTTTCTTCCTGCCATTCAGACATAAATTTAATCAAGGAAAACAATTGAACATTACAGCGTTGAATGCTGGAAATGTATTATTTTCTTATATGTTTATGGGCAATATTATTAAATAATTTCATTCAGCAAACGCTGATGAGAAACTTATCTAATGGATGGGTACAGTGTTGGTTTATGGTAAAGCCAGTTCTAACTGACGTTTCCACCAAATGTCAGTTTCATTCACTAAATGACAATATGGCGAGATAAATTGACCATCAGCGCAGTTGACAATTCCAGGTCCTAAAAAATCAGACTAAGCACAGTGGGGAGCCATTTTAAGCACCCCGTGGCCATTTTGAAAACCCGACGATCAGCTGTTTTTTTGTTGTTGTTGTTGTAAAGCGAAAATTGGTTCCCGAAGCAGGGAACCCATCATCACTAAGCGAAATTCCCCCATTTTAGACCATCATTTGCAATCGCAAGAACATTGTTGTAAAGTGGATTTGTCGTAATGCGGGGCAATCGTTAAGCGGGCCACGACTGTAGTAAATAATGGGGTTGTTGGCAGAAGGAATGGGAACTTCCAGGGAGATCATGGTGTCCATCCACCTGCAAGTAGTTGCCCCCTCCCTTGGAGAAGTACACCGACTGGATGACTAGCTGTAGATTCAGACTTGTATGAAACAACAGTAGAATCAACCAAGTTGATTTTCTCATAGGCAACATCCACATTGGCTGAAAAATCTTGTCACGTGGGTTTCAACACTTTTTACTTGGAAGAGTTGATGGCACCGCAGAAGTATCATCCCTGTGTTCCTGCTAGAAGTTCTGTATGATGATGCCGGTCCCTCTAAAATGAGTTCGAACCAAATATGCCACAGCTCAGTGCTTTCTTCCTCTCTCTTCAGGGCAAGAGCTGGATCGTGAAGCGAAGTTACGAAGATTTCAGAGTGCTCGATAAACATCTTCACCTATGCATTTATGACCGGCGGTTCTCTCAGCTCTCTGAGCTACCCCGTTCAGATGCCTTGAAGGACAGTCCAGAGGTAAAAGAGAAGGGCCATCTGGGAGTGAACAAAACCAGCTACTTATGAGCTGGCAGAAAGAGGTTGCTTTTAAGAAAAAGTCCTGGAACATGATTATATATCAGCGATCTGGGAAGGCTCTTAAGTGTAATTATGAAACAATTCATTACTGCATAGCTGGAAGAATAGGCACAGAAAAAAATTGTATATAAGATGTACAGTATAATTCTGTTAAATGAAGAATGGAAAGAGAATGGAATAGTTTTACGATTTAAGGTATCTAACGGCAAAAAGTGTTGCTAGGGAGATCTTCTCATTTATAGTACCTTACAAAATGAGTGCCTCTGATTAATAGCACTGTATTTCAGGAGGCAAAAATTTATGTCTGCCCTGCAAATAGAGTTGCTTCAGCTAGCTCGTCTTGAAGTTTGATAACGCTGTATCAGCAGAATTACACTGCTCTTCTCTTACTCTCTGTAGCTTGTCACCCAGATGCTGATGGCTTACCTATCGCGTCTCTCAGCCATTGCCGGAAACAAGATAAATTGTGGACCTGCCCTTACGTGGATGGAGGTACTGTAGGGTGTACAATTTGTGTTATTTACTAGTTTGCAATTTACTGTTTGTCATTTTACTAATTTGTCAAATGCTATGTGTTTACAACTGAGCAAATTGTAAATGGAATACCAGGCTAGTGTTATGAAGTTAGAAATCATGGCTCATTTTGGTTTCCTTTGTCTCTGTAAATAACTCCAAAAGATGAAGTTTATTTCGCTCTCGGAATAGCTTTATAAAGTACCGTATTTTTCGCTCCATAAGACGCACCTTTCCATAAGACGCACCAATTTTTTAGGAGAAGAAAACAGGAAAATATAATGTTTTCTTTGCTCCATAAGACGCACAGACTTTCCACCCCCCTGTTTTGTGGGAAAAAAGTGCGTCTTGTGGTGCGAAAAATACGGTATCATGCATGCATGATACAGTGGTGCCTTGCAAGACAATGTTAATTCGTTACGTGAAAAACGTCATCTTGTGAAAACATCATCTTGCGAAACGCAGTTCCCCATTGAAATGCATTGAAATCTACTTAATGCGTTCCAATGGGGAAAAATCGTCGGTTTGCGAAAATCGTCCATAGGAAACCATCATCTTGCAAAGCGCAACAGCGATTGCAAAAACTAATCGTCTTGCGGATTAATCATCCCGCGAGGCAATCGTCTTGCGAGGCACCACTGTATGTTAAAGCCATTCTCTCCAGAATTTCAGTATTTTTATTTGAATTTCAACTTGGCCAACATAGCAGAAAGTTTTACATATTTCAGCCTAACTCACTCTAAACTAATCCTGTTGCACTTGTTTCTTGTGGGGCATGATTTTTGCCAATTTATAAAATACCTTCTAACTTTTTAATTGATACAGCTACCTAGAAAAAAAAAGCATCTCTTTTAAATCAGCAGCACTTGCTTCTCTTAGCTCCCTAGGTGGCTCTGTACACAAGTTATTCATCAAGAATTTAGAAAGCTGATAGTAGAAAAGTTACAGTGGAATAAAATAATAATATTAAATGTCCATACTGCCATAATTTATCATGGAACTTGACTGGTTGTGGAGGTAGTTGTTTGTTAGAATATTCTTTGATTAAACAAAGATGGCCACAGGTTCAGTTAGTGTTTTCAACTGTAAGAGGAAAGCAGATATCCCCTGTGGGAAAGAGCTTTCTGGTTATTTGCTGCCCTGCCTTCTCTGCGCTTGAAATAGAGTGTGTGTGTGTGTTGTGCTTCTCTACTCTTTTCTGTAGGGAGCCCTTCACGTTTTGCTGTCTTCGCAAATCAGTGTGAAACGGCTTCTCCATACCATAAAAACGATTAATGCAATAAATTTGCAGAACCTCGCGTTCTCAGCTGCCTCACAGTCTAACATATCTTTTGTTACAGATTGATAACAAGGGGAATCATCTTTTAGTCCATGAAGAATCGTCCATTAATGTTCCTGCTATTGCAGCTGCCCATGTTATTAAAAGATATATTGCCCAAGCAGCAGATGAACTGTCTTTTGAGGTAAACTTGTGCAGAAAAACACATTTTTAAAAAAATCAAATTAATAGGAAAGAACTTTATGCGTTACTGTTTGGATGCAGTTTAAATAGAAATATGTGATATTTTTAAAACAGCCACTGGCAATGAATACATTAAATCTGCCGTGCATTCAGTGTCAGGATTTAAATATGTTGGACCTCGAATGTGACAAATAAACAGAAATTTTATAGCAACCTGCATAGTTAAACATGTGCGTGTGTGTGTGTATGCTGATTCAATGTATATTTATGCACCAAGGAGACCTCAATACACATCTATAAAAGCACTCCTGTCCTCATTCAACCATGAAAATAAGTGGTGTTGAGGGTTTCTTTCTGATCTTGTTCCCAAGACTCAAAGAAAATATTTCTTTTCCCAACGTGTTGTTAGTCTGTGGAACTCCTTGCCACAGGATGTGGTGATGGCATCTGGCCTAGATGCCTAGAAAAGGGGATTGGATAGATTTCTGGAGGAAAAGTCCATCACAGGTTACAAGCCATGATGGGCATGTATAATCTCCAGGCTTAAAAGGAAGGAACCTCAAAATGCCAGATGTAGGAGAGGGGTATCAGGAGACAGGTATCTCATCTCCGAAAGGCATCTGGTGGGGCCACTGTGAGATACAGGGAGCTGGACTAGATGGGCCCATGGCCTGATCCAGCACATGACTCTTCTTGTATTCTTATGGTGGTTCCTGAGTGCTGACTGTGAACCTCTATGCTGGTGAAAACGTGGCCAGTTAGTAGGTTTTAGATTTACATTCTGACAGTTTACATACCCGTGCCTTTTCTGCTACCACGTTTTGGGCATTGCTGTTCAAAATTCTTAGTAAAGGGCTGGCATTCGCAAGCTTTCATTTGGTGTGAATATTGTTAGAAATTCACTTTGAATGACTGCGGGCATTAATGTAATATTAACCCTTTTCCTTACAACTGAAAGGAAAAATGAAACACTTGACCACTAAAATTCATTCTAATCTTTCACCCTCTTTCAAACATGATGATATGTAGCACAAACATAATGCCTAACTAATTCTGATTTTGGAGAGAAACTGACGAGGGGGGTAGGGGCTCTTCTTGCAGTGAGATTTATTTGTATGAGATTTCCCTCCCAAGAAATCTCTGGGGGAAATGTTGCAGGATAACTCTGGAGTTGCATGGTCATTTTTTACGGAAGGAATGACAAGATGTACAGGCTTACTTTGTTGTATAGTTTCACTTGGGAAAAGCAAATCAAACCTCAAGGTGCACAGAATTGCTATAGTCCTGTTCCAATTACAGGCATGAATTGCACAACAACATTCCACCAAGTGGCAGATTTTTTTATAAGAGTTAGCTAGTGCTTGTTCTTTATAAGCATATAGTGGTGCCCTGCATAGCGACGATAATCCGTTCTGGATTCGTCGCTATGCGGAACAAAAAAGCCCATAGGAATGCATTAAAACACGTTTAATGTGTTCCTAAGAGCAAAAAACTCACCATTCTCCGAAAATCCTCCATACGGCCGCCATTTTCGCTGTCCGGTAAGCGAGGAAAGGGCGTGAAAACACTGCGGGTGGCCATTTTTTTTCCTGGTGGCCATTTTGGAACCGCCGATCAGCTGTTAGGAAAAAGTCGCTATGCGAAAATCGGTAAGCGAAACAGCTTACCGATCATTGCAAAGCGATGTTTCACCATTTAAAACATCACAATGGCAATGCGATCGCAAAAACCATTGCAAAAAAACCATCGCTATGCAGATTCGTTGTTAAACGGGGTTCCCGTTATGCGGGGCACCACTGTATTGTGTATATATATGAATTTTCTATAGGGTTGCCAAATATATATGTATATGAACAAAATTATCCAGATGCAGGGTGATAAGAATGTATGATTGTTTAATTTCCAGGTGGGAGATATTGTGTCGGTTATCGATATGCCTCCAAAAGAATTGACCACTTGGTGGAGGGGAAAGCACGGATTTCAGGTATGGCCAAAGGTTTATTTAGAGTTAATATTACAGAACGTCAAATATTGTATGCATAGTTTGGGACTGTAATTGATGCAAATAGATTGTTCTCTAATTTAGGTGATGCTACCATAAAATGCAAGTTTTGTTTTTTGTTTTTGATCCTAAGGAAAGTCTGGGCAACTACAGAGTTGGCTTCTTCATTTTTAAGGGCTGTTTAGGGAAAACCATGGAGGCAATACCGTTTATTGTACTTCCTGGGGGCCCTTCTCAGGGGTATATAACTTGGACTCCAAAATTCAAACTTAACCAAACTTGCAGGGCTTGTAGATCAGAGTCGGGGGAAGCATCCGTGTGAATTTTGTGTGTCTAGGTGTCTGTGTGTGTGTGTGTGTGTGCGTGTGTGTGTGTGTGTGTGCGTGTGTGTGTGTGTGTGTGCGTGTGTGTGTGTGTGTGTGTATTTGATTGATTCATCAGAAAAAATCCATAATTCGTCAACCTTGATGAATCACGAATTGAAATGAATCACTTTTTTTCCTTATTCATGCCCATATTTAGTTACAATACTTAACATCAAGGACTGTGAGGATTGTGTGGGATAGGTAGCTAGTTTGTGGGAGAGATGTTCTGCCAAACATTGCGGCCCTAAATCATTAAGGGCTTTAAAGGCTATGATCAGCACTTTAAACAGCGCATGCAAATCATCCCCCCCCTTACCTGCTATGATGCTGAATCCAATATTCTGAAGGTGGGGGAAGAACTAGAAAAGGGCTACTCTCCCTTCCTCTCCCACCCAAGCTTGATTTATGCACATCAGGTTAGTCTTTTTCATTTTTGATCAGATCAAATATTAGTTCGGATTTATTCTGGACCGACTTGGCATTTAACAGCAACATGTGCAGATCAAAATGTTGGCTGATAAAGTTACCTAAATTCTGCCGGCTGAAAAGTGGGCCAAAGCTTGGAAGAGATAGTACACATCTGGAGTTCCTGTCTTGTAACAGCTTGTCTCCCGACCAAAACAATTTCTCATCTGTAGCTGGTCTTATCTGGGGAGGCTGCAAGTGTGTGAGTGCACAGCGCTTCTAAAGAAGATGAGAAGTGGCATGCCAACCTGTTTCTGAAGAGCCGGAAGAAAATCTTTGACACAATTCTTGAATGTGGGCTCAGGATGATTGGATTTGGTAAAACACTAAAAAGATAAGAAGGCTACAGAAGAAATATGTTGGCAATCTAGAATTCCAGATCTGTCTGCAGATGAAGATGCCTTTGACTTGAATAATTGTGTAGAAAGAAAATCTAGTTTTTATAGTAACCTCAGATTCAGAAAAACGAATTCCTTTTTACTTGAAGTGAGGATGAAGAAAAACCTGAACTTTAAGTATACGAATCTAAAGTTCATATTAACATACTGTATTTTTCGCTCCATAAGACGCACCTTTCCATAAGACGCACCAATTTTTTAGGAGAAGAAAATAGGAAAATATAATCTGTTTTCTGTGCTCCTTAAGACGCACAGACTTTCCACCCCCCTGTTTTGTGGGGGAAAAGTGCGTCTTATGGTGCGAAAAATACGGTATAAATATATATTTAGCTATGAGAAAACTCAGTACCTCGAAAGGAAGATATTAGTACTAGTCAGAAATGAGACAAGAGGAGTCATTGGGGTGGGGGTAAGAATCTTCATAATAAAGGTGACTCCATGGGAGATGAAAAGGGAGGTATTAAATTAGACACCATATAGGGCACCACCGTGTCTCTGTTCAAGCGTGTGGTTTACCTCATTCTCATATATATCAAGGAGAATGCAGTCAACCTTTTACACCAAAACTGTGAAGAAGATGGAAGAAAAAAAATGTTCCTCTCTAACTCAGGAGCTCAGGTAGCTGTTAAGCTACTAAAAGTGAGATACAGACACAGAAGAGGTTGGTTAAAACGACAGAGTATGGCAAGGCAAAGCTGGGAAAGGGATGGGATTCATTTATTTAATCATTCAATTTATATACTACCCCAAATACAGTACTCTGGGCAGTTTGCAAGATTAAAACTTAAAACCCTCAAACCCCCCACAATAACAAAAAAAATACACTCAAAACCAACCTCACAACACACAGTCAGTAATTAAATCATAAATATAAATAATCCTGAAATCTGGAATAGGTGGGGGGGGGGTAATGGATAGTATCCAGGAGATTCAGATATTAAAAGGCAGCTTTAAATAATTCAGTCTTTGCCAGTTTTCTAAATATAAAGAGGAAAGGAGCCTGGTGCATCTCAGTTGGCATTTACTCACCAGATACTCATTCTTTTTACTATGTAAGGAGTCGTGTTGCACCCAACCATGTGTTATGTATGAAGTCTGACAGTAGACAAAATCCAATATGGTGGGGATTCCAGTGAAACCTTCTTCTGTCTTCCCTTCTGCTTTCTTTGTTGCCTGAAAACTGGTTCCAGAGGATTTTCTTGCTCCCCGGATCTTGCTCCCCGATTTTGGGAGTGGGATACGCATGAGGCTGTGATTGTCCCCATATTTACCGTGTTTTTCGCTCCATAAGACACACCTTTCCATAAGACGCACCAATTTTTTAGGAGAAGAAAACAGGGAAATATAATCTGTTTTCTTCGCTCCATAAGACGCACAGACTTTCCACCCCCCTGTTTTGTGGGGAAAAAGTGTGTCTTATGGTGCGAAAAATACGGTAAGTTGGTGTTAAGATAACCCAGTCAAGACCCTGCAGAAGTCATGAAGTTAGGCCACGAGTGGTACTTAGCTCCAAGCAACTTCAAGGAGTTGCCTGGCCTCAAACCTGTTCTTTACTGCCCCTGGCCAGAATCCTGTTACACCCTTACGCTTGTGTCTCTTCTGTGACATGAGTGTCAACACTGCAGTGCTGCCAATTAAGGAGTCAGCACTTGTTTTTCTTGCCATGCAGCAGGTTACAAAACTTGAGAAAAAGCGAGTGTAACCACTTTGTTTGCAGCCATTGAAGATGTGCCAACGGTGTTGTGAACAGGATTCTGACCCACTGTATTCTTCATGTTTATTTTGTTCTCTTTCATTCCTTTTTGTCTCTTGCATGCACCCATACACACACACACGCAATTTGAAAAATCAAGGTATTGTACTACTTTTTCCCTTCACAACAGAGTGTGTGTGCATGTACACTTGATATGAGGAAAGAAAGTAATAACATAACCTTGATATGAGGATAGATAGATAGATAGATAGATAGATAGATAGATAGATAGATAGATAGAGAGAGAGAGAGAGAGAGAGAGAGAGAGAGACAGACAGACAGACAGACAGACAGAGAGAGAGAGAGAGAGAGAGAGAGAGTGTGTGATTTAGGGTAGTATG